GGTGGCTACGGCCCAGGACCCCAGCCACTCAGCGGCATGTGGGATCTTCCCGGACCGGGGCACGAACCCGTCTCCCCTGCATCGGCAGGCGGATTCTCAACCACTGCGCCACCAGCGAAGCCCTCAGGCAGCATTTCTTTACAGGAGGGGTGTGGTGTGGGCACGGGGGCAGTGCGGGTCTTAGGATGCACATGAAGACTCCCTGCATAGGAAAGAGTTTTTACCAGTGTTGTAGCGTTTATTTGCGGGGTTGGACTTTGGACCCACCCATAATCACCATCAGACTTTTCCACGCCCCCGACATTGTCACCCACAGCCGTTCAGTTGGTTGAATCCCAAGATTTGGCCGGTTTTCCAAATACATCCAGCATAGATCCGCACTAAGTCCGACATAGGTAGCCTGAAAATCCACTTGACTCAGTAACTGTCGAGATTCAGATGCCATATAACTGCTGTAAATCAAAGCAAATTCTTGGCCAAAGGGCCAGACTTGCTGGTTCTGCCCAGTTCTGAATCTGGTCCGGGACCAGCTAAAGGGTGAGGGGGAAGGACTGAGGTGGTTGGAATGAAGAGGTGATAGTCTCTTAAAACTTCTAACGCTTAATCGCTTACACATCAGGGCTCTTTTTTATGCCTCCTGCAGTGCCTTCTCTAGAGTAAGTACTTTATTTTCTAAAAATCATACAGGATTCTCCAACAGTGGATTCAGGAAGAACATTAAGTTTTGCCTAGGTTTTTCCCTTTATCCCACTCATCTCCTTGAAGGTAAGGAAAGAAAAATGTGCAAAGTACATTCTTGAAGTAGTCTCCCAAGTCACTTTTCCTACTTCAGTTAGTTGAAACATGGCACATTTTCCAAAACCATCATCCTTTCTTGCTCACATTATATACCAGGCAGACACCCAAGCATTGTAATAATTGATCTAAAAAAAAAAAAACCCAAAAAACAAAACCTCATTAGGATTCTGGAAAATAGGTAAAGTTATTCTAATATTAGAAGTGATTTTTCTGTGTAAAGTTACCCCAGTGGAAATTTAAATGATGCAAATTCAAGATAGTTCGTGAATTAGGTAAAATATTCAGTCACTTAATTATAGTATATTGATTTTTCAGGCCATTAATCTCACTGAGAAAGTTGCTCTTGATTAGTTTCAAGGACATATACTTCTTCTTTACTACTAATATTAAAGGGATTTCTGAGACCAGAAATGAATAATGACCAAATATGTAGAAACAATTCTAATTTTTAGGCTCTCCTGGATCAAGTTTGATCTTATGGCAACTGAAAGGCTGCGTAGTGTGTTCACCTGCTTTTACATCATTCTGTGATTTAGGCTTTTATATTTGGGACATTAACTTCTAGTGAAAATGATTTTTCAATTTTAGGCTCAGATTGCAGTTTCTAGGTCTTAGATAGGAAGTACTCAGTCTTGAAAAATAGCTGTTACTAATCTAATTTTACTATAGAACATGAATAATATTAATCTGGAAAAATGTTAAACCTATTATCACTCTTAAATCTACTAAATTTATTTAATGCTTTCTACATATCATGTACTATGCCATGTATTGGGTGAGTTTGAAAGGAATTGAGTGTAGAGTATAAAGTGAATGAAAGCAAGGAACCCACAGAGTAGTGGGGGAGATAGGCACAGACATAAATACAGTATTTTTAATTCAGGGTGCTAAGTGCTTTAGTAGATGTGTGTAGACTGTACTTTGGCAGCCCAGCAAGGAGGTGCTGCTTCTCCTTGAGGCATTGGAGGAGGCTGTATCAAAAATGTGGCATTTGCCTTGGGTCATGAAAGATACATAGCATTTGCCAAGGTGAAGAAAGTGTAGGATATTCAAATCAGAGTATAGTATGTGCGGAAATGAAAGTAAATGTATGTTGTAGTGTGACTAGATCATTGGGTTTATAAGGAAAGGTGGAAGATGAGCCTTATAAATTAGATTGAAGTCAGATTATGGGACACCCTTACCTAGGTAAAGACTTTATTTTCTAAGATGAATAGTTGTTTTAGGCAGTGGAGTGATCCGATTAGGTTTGTGCTTTTCAAAGATAATTCTGACAACCATGTGAAGGAGGAACCGTTTTGGAAGCAATAAAGGGCCTCAACCAAGGCAGTGCCAAATAGCAATCATGTCGACTCCAGAGGTGGTAGAACCTTAAATTTATGGTGGAGGAATACTGACAATGGCATCTGTTTAGTCTTATTTCAGTTCTGTACTTAAATGTAAGATAATAAATGTGGTGAAAACCACATTGTCAAATATTTATTAAGTACTTGGATTGTGTCAGACAATGTTATCAGTCTATGGGATACGTCAGTGACTAAAACTGCCCTCCTGGGAATTACATTCCAACAGAGGGACATAGTCAATAAATAGTAAATGAATAAGTAGAATATATACTATTTTATAAGTGATAATGTTGTGGGAAAAGAGAAATTAGAGCGAATAAAGGGAATCCAGAATGTAAAGGGAAAAGAGGAGTTTGCAGTGTTAAATAGGATGCTCAGGATAGGCCTCGTTGAAAGGGGGAGATTTGCATAATTATATAAAGCTGTGAGACAATAGATTTCTTGGGGAAGAGCATCCCAGAAAGAGGGAAGAAGTAGAACAGAAACACAGGTAAGAAGCATGCCTTGCATGTTCCAGGGACAGGAAGGAGGCCAGAGCAGAGCGGTCAAGGGATAGAGTAGTAGGAGAGTTAGAGAGGTAACAGGGAAGAGTGCAGGTTATTAGGGCATCGTAAGGACTTTGATTTCACTCGAGTAAAATGGGAAGGCTTTGCAGATATTTGAGCCAAGGAGTGAAAACATTTCAGTTAATTTTTTAAAGGGACTCCTGTGACAGACAAAGGAGTAAAAGCTTTACTTTCTAAGTTGGAGGTTTTTAAGCACTGGAGTGATATGATTAGACTATATTTGGAATGGACTGGAGATAGGCAAACTCTTGGTTTTGTAGCTCATCATACTTGTCAGAAAATATTAATTTTTTAAAAATGCAACTCCTGAAACACATTGCATATCTTAGTGTTTGAACCTTAGACAAGACTAGATGTGATCTTAGGAAAAGCAGAGGCTACTTCTGATGTCAAAAATCTCAGTCAAGTAGTCCGACTCTGCTCTTCTATAACACGCTTAAAAAGTGAAAGGAACATTAAGGTGGCAAGTAAAGTTGTTAGGGATCCCAGTAATGAAACGGAGAGCTGTTTGTGGAGAACACTGGTGCTGACATATAGCAGACAGGAATCAGATCGTGTCAGTTCAGTGCCAAGAAAAGTCGCCAGAGGTATTTTTCATCTTTGAAATTATCTATTTCGCCATCCCCTTTACGGTCTTTACCTGTTTATACTCAGTCTCTTCTAAGAGGGATTCTTGTTTGAGTTTTTATTTTACGTTAATTATAGTGAATTGTAATCTCTTCAAAATAATCATTTAGGAACTCTTCTAAACTTGGGAATGCTAAGACTGTTTTTTAAAAAAATTTACTGCTGAAACTTGGAATAGATTTTTCAAATGTTGAGACAGATCTCTTGAGTATTAACTTTGCTAATCAGCTATATATGACTTTTTGCTTGTAGATTAGTTTTGTTTAATTTCATACCTTCTCTGGGAAACGTTTTTCACATAAATTAAATACAGACTAAGTTTGAAATAGCCCATGACTTATTCCTTTTGCTCTGAATTCTCTATGACTTTTCCATTCATACAGTGATATGCTGTGATTTAAACATAGTATAGAAAGGAAACCATAAACAGAGACTCTGACACCTGAAAAAAATTGGGCATATCCATGTTAAGGGTATAAACAAGGCTTGGAAAAAGGCCGAAAGGCTTGAAAGTGGGAATTGCAGTGGAAGATTCTACAAAAGAGAGTGTGAATTACTATCATGCTAGGTAGAGGGGCAGCCAGAAAGCAGTATTGTAATAATAACATGGGACTTTGGCATTAGACAAATGTGGGTTTTAGTTCCAACCTTTTACTTACTAGCCATGAGATTTTCTATGTTACTTAATTACTCTTCACTTGATACATAATTAAAATAGGTTAATTATAGTATATTATATGTGTGTGTGTTAATTATGGTACAATAATAAGTTAATAACATAAACACAGAATTATCAAATGACCACTCCTATGTATGTACCCCCCAAAAATTGAAAACAGGTCCTCAAACACTTGTAGACAAATATTTCAGTATCACTGTTCACGATAATCCAAAAGTAGAAGCAGGGGACTTCCCTGGTGGCACAATGGTTAAGAATCCACCTGCCAGTGCAGGGGACACAGGTTTGAGCCCTGGTCCGGGAAGATCCCACATGCTGAGGAGCAACTAAGCCCGTGCGCCACAACTACTGAGCCTGCGCTCTAGAGCCTGCGCGCCAAAACTACTGAAGCCCACACGCCTAGAGCCCATGCTCCGCAACAAGAGAAGCCACTGCAGTGAGAAGCCTGTACACTGCAACGAAGAGTAGCTCCCAATCTCCGCAACTAGAGAAAGCCCACGCACAGCAACAAAGACCCAACACAGCCATAAATAAATAAATAAATAATTAAATAAAAATAACAAAAATAGAAGCAATCCAAATGTCCATAAACAAAATGATAGCTACCTACATACATACATAAAAAGGAATGAAATACACATACTACAATGTGGATGAACCTCAAAAACATGCTAACTGTGGATGAATTGGGAGATTGGGATTGACATATATACACTATTGATACTATGTATAAAATAGACAACTAATGAGAACCTACTGTACAGCACAGGGAACTCTACTCAGTGCTCTGTGGTGACCTAAATGGGAAGGCAGTCCAAAAAAGAGGGGATTTATGTACACATATAGCTGATTCACTTTGCTGTACAGCAGAAACTAACACAGCATTGTAAAGCAGCTATACTCCAATAAAAATTTTTTTAAAAACACTATGCTAAGTGAAAGAAACCAGACACAAAGGGTCCCATATTACATGATTCTATGAAATATCCAGAACAGGTAAATCCACAGAGACAAGAAAGCAGCTTGGTGGTTGCCAGGGGCTCGGGGGGAGACATACAGGGAGGGACTGCTTAATGGCTACAGAGTTTTCTTTCGGGGTGATGGAAATATTTTGGAACTAGATAAAGGTAGTGGTTGTACAACACTGTGAATGTTCGAAGTGCCACTGAATTGTATACTCTAAAATGGTTATGTTATATGACCTTTACCTCAAGTTTTAAAAAAGACTAAAACCATAAAGCTTTTAGAAGAAATATGGAATGTCCTTTGTACTCAGGGGTCGATGAAACTTTTAAAAATAGAACCCAATAACCATTAAAAAAAAAAAAAGACAAAAGGGCTAACAAAATAGATTGCCAGGCAGTATTAAGGGCCACTTGCAGTGTGGAGTCATGAACTTAAAATGACACCAGTCAGTGTGGTTGTGTGTGTTTTTCTGTTTATTTTCAGCTGCCCCAGGGTAAACATGGAGTAGACAGAGTTGGATTTCATCAAGATTAGTGGCTTTGCAAGGTAAGATGAACCAAAAGAGAGACAAGGACTTTGAGAGTCTATGTACAAGAGAGTGATTATAATCCACAAATGGGAACTTAAATTGGGTAAGTAGAGAATTGATAATACAGGGTGGAGGACAGGAAAAATATGGTAAGATAAGAGAGCTGTAAGACAGGATGGGTCTCAGCATTGTTGGAGTCTAGAGTATAATTTGATGCTGTCTAGGGATATACCTGAGTATATCAAGAGTTTTATTTTTATTTTACAGAACTGAAAGTTTCACAAAAGAGGTTTTGAAGCTGAGTTCAAACAATTTGTTTTATATTTTCTTAGGCTGTACTGGCTTTTCTTCTTAGTCCTTGAAAGCCTCTAGGAAGCTACTCTTGAGCAACAGGTGCTGTGGCTTCCTGCTGATCCTAAGGTGTATCTGGAACTCTTCAGAATCAAGGATGACTCTAGGCATTATAGGAACAAATTTACCAGTGCTGTGGCCAGCATTAGAAGAAAAGCAAAAACTCCGAGAGTTGTTTGCTTTTTGATATTTTAGATTTAAAAGGTTGTGGTAAAAAATATGCTTGTGGGACTTCCCTGGTGTCCAGTGGCTAAGACTCCGTGCTCCCAATGCAGGGGGCCCAGGTTCGATTCCTGGTCAGGGAACTAGATCCCGCCTGCTGCAACGAAGATCCCGCGTGCCGCAACTAAGACCTAATGCAGCCAAATAAATATATATATTTTTTAAAAATATTAAAATATGTATATACATGTACTTGAAGAATTATAAAGTCTTAGAGTTGGAAAAGAAGTGTATGTTATCTACAGTTTTAGCTGTAGTGCTTTAAGAGCCCATACCTCACAAGACAGGTTATTTTATAACAGACAGCTTTTCAATTAGAGGGTACTTTTTTAAAAAGTTCTTTCTATTGGGCTGAAGTTTTTCTCTTATAACTTCTTCCTATTAGTGTTAGATGTGAATTCTGAAATATTACCTGGAAAAAGTCTAATTGCTCTCGAACTTCCTTTTTTTAAATTTAAATTTATTTATTTACTTATTTATTTATTTTTGGCTGCATTGCATCTTCATTGCTGCATGCGGGCTTTCTCTAATTGCAGCGAGCGGGGGCTACTCTTCGTTGCAGTGCGCGGGCTTCACATTGCGGTGGCATCTCTTGTTGCGGAGCACGGGCTGTAGGCGCGTGGGCTTCAGTAGTTGTGGTGCACAGGCTTAGTTGCTCTGTGGCATGTGGGATCTTCCTGGACCAGGGCTCAAACCCGTGTCCCCTGCGTTGGCAGGTGGATTCTTAACCACTGTGCCACCAAGGAAGCCCTCGAACTTCCTTTTAAACAGTACTTTTCTCCCCTTTATATTCTAATCAATAGCTAAATCCATCCTTTACCTCCATCCCTGTTGCACATTTCTCATCTAGATAACCATGGCCTCTCTGCCTCCAGTTTGGCACTCATCCAATCAGTTCTCTACACTGTTATCAGAGCGGTAATACATCCAAAACACTAATAAATAATAATAATAATAATTTTATTATTACTTAATTTTATTTTTAATATTATTCAGTTTTATATTATAAATTTATTATTGTTATTGCAAGTACTTATAAAGCACTATGTGCCAGACACTGTTCTAAGCACTGTACTCATTTACTCCTGGTAATAACCCTATGAAGTAGATTCTGTTATTATCCTCATTTTTCAGATGTGAAAACAGGGTAAAGAAGTTAAGAAACTTGTTGAAGGCTACACAGTTAGTAAGCAGTAGAGACAAGTTCAAACCCAGACTTCTAGATTCAGAGTACATGCTTTCAGACACTACCTCAAGCTGTTTCTTTATCTCCCCCCGCTTAAAGCGCTTCCATGTTTCCCGTTATAAGTAGGGTCAGGTTTGACGTGGCACATACTGCCCTTCATGATCCAGCCCCTTTCCTCTTCTAACACTTCATGTCCTACTATTCCCCACTACTTGGTTTATATTCCCATGAAACTAAATTACTTGTATTACCCAAGTACACTGTGTTTTTGTCACATATATGTGCATTTACTACTACCTCCTTCAACTTGCTAATTATTTTTTCAAATTATAGTGCTGTATCATTGCACTGACCATATTTAATGGAAACTGCATATATCAGAAACTCCTCAAAGGCAAGGACTGTATCTTACTTTTCTTTTATAACCATGAATTGCACTGAATAAAGTTCCAAGTTTTAATTTTATTTGCAGGTGATGATTCATGGTGATGGCTTGCAGGGTCATAAACAAAAGAAGGCACATGGGACTTCAACAGCTTTCATCGTTTGCAGAAACAGGAAGAACTTTCCTAGGCCCAGTAAAATCATCCAAATTTATTATAGATGAAGAGTGTCATGAAAGTGTGTTAATCAGTTCAACAGTAAGGCTTCTTGAAAGTTTGGATTTAACCAGTGCAGTGGGACAACTTCTCAGAGAAGCAGTTCAAGCACAAAATAACACATACAGAACTGGAACCAGTACTCTTTTGTTTCTTGTTGGTGCGTGGAGCAGTGCTGCTGAAGAATGTCTTCATTTGGGTGTCCCCGTTTCATTAATAGTGTCTGTAATGTCAGAAGCCTTGAATTCATGCATTGAAGAGGTAGTTTCCCTCCAGGTACCTGTCCACAATGTATCTGACCGTATGGTAAACACAAAGACATTCTCTGGACCTGAAACATTTAGTGTCGGCGTATACCCTTTTCTCCAAATCCCTTCAGGTACTGGTTTGATACAGAAAGAGCGTGATCTCAAAGATGTTGCCTCTCAGTCATTGGCCATTTACAGTCATTCTGGGAGACCTGTTAAATCACCTCAGCTCTTTAGGTCTCAGGATAAGGTTGAAGCAGATGAAAACACATCACAAACTCCTCAAACTCTGAAAAACAGTCTGCTTGCAGACACCCGCTGCAGAAAGTCAGTACTAACCCACAGTAGACATTTTAGTAGGACAGGTAATAATCAATGGATAAGCAAACCAGATGGAGTTCTAGAACAACTTAGTGCAGCTATTCCCAAGACTTATAGATGTGATGATTTGGTGGAGTTGGAGGTGGGTTTGAGTCACGGAGGGCACAGCAGCATGAAGTTAGTAGACAAAGCAGTACGGCTACAATATCGGAACGCAGGTATGCAACGAGGCAGCTGTACAATGCCATTTCTTTTTGACATTTCAAGAATCTTCACTTGCTGCTTACCGGGCTTACCTGAAACTTTTTCTTGTGTCTGTCCAGGATATATCACTGTTGTATCAATATCTAATACTGCTCTGATCAAGGAATTGCAGAATCAGCCTATTCGGGTAGTTCTTGTTGAAGGTGATCTCACAGAGAATTATCGCCACCTGGGATTTAATAAGTCTGCAAGTATTAAAACAGTATCAGAAAGCTTGAAGGTTCAACAGGATGGCTCAGAAGAACTGTGGACAGATCATGTGTTACAGGTATTAATCAAGTTCAATGTGAACCTTGTCCTGGCACAAGGAAATGTGTCTGAACGCTTAATCGAAAAATGCACAGACAGCAAGAGGTTGGTAATTGGATCAGTGAATGGCAATGTAATGCAGGCTTTTGCAGAGGCTTCAGGAGCAGTGCAGGTGGCCTACATTACACAAGTGAATGAGAACTGTGTGGGCAGTGGGGTCTGTGTGACCATCTGGAGAAGCATTCCCTTTGATGCTGCAGATCGGATCAACAGAATGGCAATCATGTTAAAAACAGAAGGAATTAATTTGGTTACAGTAGTGCTGACTAGTCCAGTCACTGCCCAGATGCAAACCAAAGAAGATACCTTCTGGACTTGTGCCTATCGTCTGTATCATGCTCTAAAAGAGCAAAAGGTCTTCCTTGGAGGTGGCGCAGTTGAATTTTTCTGTCTTAGCCATCTTCAGATTCTTGCGGAGCAGTCTGTGAATAAAGGAAACCAAGGCTGTTCAGGATGGCTTCATGATACTTCCTCTTGGCTGGCCTCATCTGTGACACAGTACAGACCGACTGTGCTTAAATGCCTGGCAAATGGATGGCACAGATACCTTTCAACTCTCCTGTATAACACTGCCAGTTACTCATCAGAATTTGAAGCCGGCACATTCATTCAACATCATCTACAAAATGCTACAGACTCTGGCTCACCTTCATCTTACGTCTTGAATGAATATAGTAAACTAAATAGTGGGATTTTAAATTCAGACATTTCAGATAAACTGGAACAGATTCCAAGAGTTTATGACATTGTTACACCAAAGATTGAGGCATGGCGCCGAGCTTTGGATTTAGTACTGTTAGTTCTTCAGACAGACAGTGAAATTATCACCGGACTTGAACAAACGCAGATAAATTCGCAGGAATCAGAGGGCTTTTTATTTTTGTAGTGTTATTGGCTAAGTCTTTGGAAAATAATCTTTGGTAATATGTCGTGCTAATAATAAATTTTCTAGTAGCCAAGTTACAGTTTCTAAAATGCCAGCTTTTACCAAGAGAAAATAATTGACGTGTGTCAATAACTGTAGAGAGTCAGAGACTTCACCCTACTTACAATTTTGTTCTCCGTTTCTATATTTTTATTCTGTAGCTGGACATGTCTCTTTTTTAACATTTTATTGGAGTATAATTGCTTTACATTGTTGTGTTAGTTTCTGCTGTATAAGAAAGTGAATCAGTTATATGTATGCGTATATCCCCATATCCCCTCCCACTTGCATCTCCCTCCCACCCTCTTTATCCCACCCCTTTAAGTGGTTACAAAGCACCGAGCTGATATCCCTGTGCTATGCGGCTGTTTCCCACTAGCTATCTGTTTTACATTTGGTAGTGTATATATGTCAATGCTACTCTCTCACTTTGTCCCAGCTTACCCTTCCCCCTCCCCGTGTCCTCAAGTCCATTCTCTACCTTTGTGTCTTTATTCTTGTCCTGCCCCTAGGTTCGTTACAACCTTTTTTTTTTTTTAGATTCCATATATATGTGATAGCATACTGTATTTGTTTTTCTGACTTACTTCACTCTGTATGACAGACTCTAGACCCATGCACCTCACTACAAATAACTCAATTTTGTTTCTTTTTATGGCTGAATAATATTCCATTGTATATATGTGCCACATCTTCTTTATCCATTCATCCGTCAGTGGACACTTAGGTTACTTCCATGTCCTGGCTACAGTAAATAGAGCTGCAGTGAACATTGTGGTACATGACTCTTTTTGAATTATGGTTTTCTCAGGGTATATGCCCAGTAGTGGGATTGCTGTTCACCCTACTTATAATTTAATTGGTTAGCCTGTTGCTGTTTCATGGGATGCTACAGAATACACAAGATGCTTGGATCAGAGGCAAAGGGCTTTTATTATTCACAGGAAAAGCAGTAGCCAGAGCTTCAGGTTGGTTTGCATCAGTTCCCCAGTTCTCTAAGTCCCACGAAAGCAACACAGAGGGCCACTGATGGCAGCCTGCACACGCAGTGTATTGTGTTACGGAAGAGGAACACTTGGGGTAGCCACTGCTTTTTTCAGTAAGCAGAAACAATCCTGTTCTTTGTCCAAGGGCAGTTGTTACCTCATGCCTCAAGGCTGCTCAGTGTAAACACAAGCCTGAGACATGGACTGGGTAAAGATAGGCCTGGCATCCTGAGAAAGTATGCAGTGTCACTCAGAGCCACAGTGGGCAGCCTTCTCCAGAAATTCACTCTTCAGCCTGATACGTTCTTGGCCAGACTTGAATTTTCACGTGAGTATGCCACTCTGTCGGCTACTCTGATTAATCTGGCAAACAGGTTGCTTAGTCAGTACCAAATCTATTCAATTGGTCTCACATACCAACTAAATCAAGGCTACTAAAACAGACCCTGAGCCGCAGGGTGAAGCCAGGCTGCAGTACTGACCTCACTCATGTTCCCAAGGGCCTTGAATGTAGTCAAATGTAAGTTCCAAGGGAGGGCCAGTAGGTCTTCTTATTAGCCAGAATATAGCCTAAGACCAATTTGTTACCCATTATGAACCACACAAGGGAGCTTTGACTGTCTTACCTGTCTTTGGTGTCATTGCCAAAAATTACAGGAGGCAATAGATGGGCCAAAAGGCAACTCCCATCGCTAGTGGAGATACCTTTGTGGCCCATTTTCCCCACATACAAGCACATAACCCCAATAGGCCCAGGTCACTGTATATCAGGATTTCTTGTTAAACCTGAATTGAATCACCATTATATAAATTTGATTAAGTCACATAGGTAGTGTTACCCAGTAGTCTCAGCCTCGATTGCCATGCATAGCAAAATCCAAGGCCACTCAGGCATTAAGAGAAGCATATGATCAGTCAGGTTGAAACAAGGTTGTCCTGGTTCCTGTGTTTGTAAGTGTTCTTAACTGAGAGCTGCCATTGATGGCATCATGTCCTGCCTCCTGTACCAAATAAGAGGCTTAACAAGGAGTTGAGGCTCCTTTGTGGTGGTGACTTGTGGTGGTCAAGGAGATAGAGCATTTGCTTGTTTGACTCCCGAGGGATGAGTGCTATAAATCTCTCCAGATGGTATCAAGGAACTTTACTTGGCAACCAGTATTCTGAATTTTGTTCAGGTTTATCGGTCACTCCTACTGGTAGAGGTAGATAACGCCACAGGGCCATTGAGACAGGCTTCTAACCTGTCAACCACAGAACATCTATATATCACCTATATAGTGAACATCTGAGGCATCAGAGCACAGAGGCATGCACACTCAATCCCAACCTGTCGATGGGTTAGGATGGGTTAGGGCATGGTGGTGGCTGGCAGGAAGCTTGCCTCATTTCTCTACTTGTAGCAATACCCCGAATGGGAGAATCTCTTCTGGCACTTTATAAGCATTTAAGTTTAAACACATAACACCTTGATGCCAATTATGTATTTTCATGATAATAGTACATTGAATTGGGCCATTGGGACCCATCCACAGGGTCACTTTTTTCCTTTACTGCAAGATTTGCTCCAATCCTGTCAGTTACCTTTAGTCACTTTTTCCCCCTGCGGAAACATGGACCAAGAAGTTTAACACTTTCACATTAGGGGCTTTAACAGTTGCCAAGAGTTGGTGTTGTCTCCCTGACGGGTAGCTCAGGAAGGAGCAGAGAGTGAAGGCGGCAGGCAGGGAGGTTTTGTTTTTGGCGTTGTTTTTTTGGCTCTGCATTTCAGTGTTGGTGCCAGCTTCTCCCCGTGCCCTTCCTAGTATCTGGAGAGCACCCAGGCTCCAGGGATCTTTCTCTCTGTCCTCCGCTGACCAATGCATCTCCCCAGTGCCCTGCAGTCCTGGGTACCTTGGGCCACCCTGTGCGCAGTAGCCACATCCCTCAGGGACTGGGTAGCATGGTCCCTTGGGCACTTGTATCTAACAGAGCTATAGAAGTTTGAGTCACTTTCTTCCCCAGAGTTCCCCTGTTACACTTGGCTTTTTCCGTACAGCAGATGACTTCAGGGTGGAGGGTGCGGGAGGTATTAAGTGTAGAGGGAGAGAACGGCTCCATGCCAGGAAGCAACACTTTTGTGTTTACTTTTGGTTTTGATCAGCTACCCAACTTGTGCTCAACAAACTTGTGTTTTTGGTCTACTCAAAGTTGTATTTCTTCAGCCACTGGCGGTCCAGTGGTTAAGACTCTGTGCTCCCAGCGCAAGGGGTGCGGGTTTGACCCCTGGTCGAGGAACTAAGATCCCACATTAAAAAGTTGTATTTCTTCCTTGCTGACAGCATTTCTTTCAGCTCTGGGGACCCCTTGACTTGGTGGCTGCAGCCGGTTTCTTCTCAGGTTGTGTCATGGGGCACGCTGCCTTGTTGTCATGTTCACATTCTTCCTTCTCCCACCCAAGGTGAGTGGGCAACAACCAAGACACCATTTGGTTGTGTGACCTCTCTCTCATCCTTAGTCTCCAAACGTTCATTAACAGGTAGACAGTAGGCAGCCCATAATCCCCTCCCCCTTACCCACTACTTGAGTGAAAGCATTCACTATGGAACCCATGGAATCATATCTCTTAACCTCGCCCACTGGGGCTCATCTTTTCCAGAGAGCCATGGCTCTCTCAAGTTAAAACTGGCAAGAACTATGCAGGGTCTGGGATTTTGCTCTGTTTACAAGCTAACAAGTTGGCCTATTAAAATTTCATGCAACACTGGCAGAAGACTCGAGACTCCTGGGTCAGAGACAAAAGGACTTTATAAAAGTAACCAGAGCTTCATGTTAATTTATATTGGTCCCCTGCGCTCTCAAGTCCCTCAGGGGTGACATAAGGAGCCCATGATGAATGCCTACACATATGGTAGTTTGTGTTACAGTAGAGGAACACTGAGCTCAAGCGATTCACACCTTTTTTTTTTTTGCTGTGTTGTGTCTTCCTTTCTGTGCGAGGGCTTTCTCTAGTTGTGGCAAGCGGGGGCCGCTCTTCATCGTGGTGCGTGTGTCTTTCACTATCGCGGCCTCTCTTGTTGCGGAGCACAGACTCCAGACGCACAGGCTCAGTAGTTGTGGCTCACGGGGCTAGTTGCTCCGCGGCATGTGGGATCCTGCCAGACCAGGGCTCGAACCCATGTCCCCTGCATTGGCAGGCAGATTCTCAACCACTGCGCCACCAGGGAAGACCCCCGATTCACAACTTTTATAGTAAGCACAAGTAAGCCTATTCTTAGTCTGGAGAAAGCTATTACATCATCATTTAAGGTTGCTCACTGCAAACACAGACTTGAGAAATGGCCTGGAAAAAGAGAACTCAATACCCAGCAAGGACATGCAGGGATGCTCAGAGCCCATGGCAGACTGCCTGTCCCAACAAAGTCTCTTTTGCTACTTAGCCATAAATTGAACATTATAAGGCCTGAATTTATGTGTGTAGTTTTTGGAAATGAATATTAGAAGAGCTCTGAGAAAATAATAGTATTAATTAGGTTACTGATTACCTATCATGTTCCAGGCACCATTCTAAATTCTTTATGTATTGCATTACTTTGCTAGGGTCACCTCAACAAAGTACCACATACTAGGTAGCTTAAACAACAGAAATTTATTTTTTCACAATTCTGGAGGCTAGAAGTCTGAGATCAAGGTGTGGGCAGGGCTGGTTTCTTCTGTGGCCTCTCTCCTTGACTTGTAGATGGCTGTCTTTTCCCCGTGTCTTCATAAAATCTTCCCTCTGTACCTATCTTTGTCCAAATTTCCTCTTCTTGTAAGGAAACCAGTCATATTGGGTTAAGGCCTACCCTAGTGACCACATTTTAACTTAAGTACATCTTTCAGGACCCTATCTCCAAATACAGTCACATTTTGAGATACTGGGGTTTAGGACCTCATGGTATGAATTGGCAAAGGGACACAATTCAGCCCATAACTCATATGTAGTCTCAATCTTTGCAACATCTATTTTCTCCATTTTATGGTTGAGGAAATTAGTGAGGTTAAGAAACTTGCCCAAGTAATAGGTAG